AATGAATGAATGAATGAATGAATGAACCAATGAATAGATTACTTGAAAGTCAATTGTGCAAAGCAAATGACTATTTTAAGGTAAAAGGACTGATTTTTTAGGAATAATAGAATATAGACAAGAGTTATCCATCCATTATTATTAAAATTTCAGGTTTACATCCTAAAGATCTTGTTCTGCTTAAATGAATTTGTTTGTATTTCAGTGTTCAAGTTATAAACCATTAATTGCTTTTCTATTTTTTTTTCTTTTTCCTATCCTACTCACAAAACCAAGACCACATCTCTGTGAGAGAAGAGGGATTAACCGATTTTGGAAGTGGAATTTGCATTAACTGTTAGTAATGAATATCCTAGTGAAGCCCAAAATTAAGGTCTGAGCAAGGGCACCATATTGAGCCTTCTCTATTCTATTCCTAGATTGCATTGTTATTGATGCCCCTTATATAACAGGAAACATCAACTCTGATTAAGAAGTGCTTTAATCAGAACAACATCTTATAAAAAGAAAAAAAAAATCTAATACAAGAATGTCTTACCAATGCTAAAAAGAAGCAAATTCTTCTGTGTCCCGGGACTAATTCTCCTTAATTAACATTGTTAACCCTTTATTATGAACTTAACTCTGTCCTTAATTTCTTTTTACATTTCTATTCTTATTAAATAATGTTTGAATTTTTTTTACTAAAATTCATATTCTATTTTTCTTAGACTGTTAGCCCCTTGAGGGAATTGGCTAAGGACTATATAACTAGCAAAAGCACCATGTGGAGAGTTAAATTAAAAAAAAATTCTTGACTTAAGATAAATTGTGGGTTGCCCATAGGAATCTGAAGAAACTGGAGAAAAGCTATTACATTTAAATAACTGGCTGCCTCTAATCCACCCCAGTAGCTATTCATCAGTGGAAAAGAAATTATGAGAAGGGAGGCAAGGATCGGAAAAAGAGTCTGTTTTTGATAAGATGAAATGATTCTTATAGAACGTAAAACTGTCTGGAGGACTTTTCTGCTCTTTACTTTAGTTTCTACCCCCACCCCCTCCAAAAAAAAAAAAAAAAGTGGTATCAGGCAACCCAGATGCTGGAAATTGAAGAAGCAATGCTATAATAATCTCTTTGATTGGGGATGATGGAGGCACAAAAATAGCAAAAGGACTGTGAGCACTAAATGAAGACATGTGAACAAATGCCACAGCCCTAGATCAAAGCACATATTCCAGGATGACTTATTTAAAAATACATTTATCAGAGCTGTAAATAAAATTAAAATTTAGAACAAGTCCTTTACAATGTTATAATGATAATGGTGCTAAGAAACAATATTTTTTAAAATTACTTTAAGGTCAATCAAGAAATATTTACTGTTAGAGGGATTGAGATGTTTTTAAATTAAAGATAAAGTTCCATGCATTGCTTTTCCCTGACATTTAATTAAGAAAAGCATTTAATTGGCTTAAATCTGTAAATTTAGTTCCTGCACATCAGACATATTGTCTTAACCATGCTTTGGTTTTAGACTTCAAAAATCGTATTATATATTAAGTGGTAATAATTTTCTTCAGAGTTTTCCCTCTTCAACTTAAATCTCTAGCCATAGCAATAATTTTGTAGTTAGGAAGTGATTGCTAAATCAACTGAAATAGGTCATTAGTGAATTTCCAGACATGTCAGTATGTTGAACTATTTCAAAAATATCTTACGATTTCCTCTCAATCTTAGTCAACAAACTGCTCTTCTGTAATATGAAATATAAGGATTCCTTGTTCTGAATGACAATTAAAGAAACCTTAATTTAGGAAGGGTAATAACATTTTAATTGCAAAAGGTTAATGATGCAACATGACTGTTAGTTGTATATTCCTTGAATTTGCTACTTAATATTTGAAAAGAATTTTCTTTTCCTTTGTATTGTCTTTGGATCTATGGAGTATTTTTCCAACCTTTATTTTACTTTGTTATTCCTCCAACATATAATCGTAATGTCTTTTCTCTCACTGAGCTCCTGAGTGGCTGCAAGGCATAAACGTGTCTAATGCAAATGCCAAGAAGGCTCTAGTGGACTTCTGAGACCTCAGTCAAGGAGTAGTGTTGGAATGCAAGCTTGCCTCACATAAACCTTAAGGCTACAAATTACTCATTTTGAGCGAAAAAGATACTGCTCTTTTATGTTGAAAACAAGATTCATATTACAACTCTACACAGTGCAGACTATTTGAAAGGCATTTTTTCCTAGTCACGTTCATGTATTTATCACTTAGAGATCTGCTTCTAAACAAATGCTTTAGATATATTGCCTGTGATTGGATCCACAAAATTTCATCTCCAGGAGTAAAATTTAGCATCTGCTCCAGAAAAACCTTCTCAGAGCTGGAACTCAGGGGCCAGGGATATTTCAACAGCAACAATAACACAAATTGGAATGTTCCCCAGATGATGCCTTTTTTCTTTCTCAATGTTATTTTATTTCCTTTTTCCAAGTAAAAATCATTAGAAAACTATCATCTTTTTTTCTATGTAAAGCTTTTTAAAATAAAATAATAGCAACTTACAAATTTACAGAGAAAATAATCAAGTATTTTTAGAATGAATTCAGCTTTATGAAAATTTACTGCATTGGTTTTATGTTTATGTTCCATATCTTATCTCCGACAGGTAAAATCTTCATCTTAAATCCAGCAAGTTTCATAAACTGAAAACCAGGAAAAGCATTAGATTGCAGGCAGCCCTGTGTGTCTATTGTGATACCTTTAAATCTTTAATGGAACTGAAAATTCAACAGATAGGATAATTTTTAGTGAATGAGTATGTCTATAATAATACAAGATATAACTATTTTTATAGTATTTGAAGAATATGATCAAGATGCATTTGTTATATATTCAGTATATTTGGGAAGAAAAGATGAAAACTTAGAACAGACACAATGGCTTAAGAATGAATATGCGTGCAAAGCAGGCGGTATCTAGGCAGTATGTGAGTGAGCAGTCAAATGCAGGGTGGTTTGGTGAAGAGCAATCGAGTGGGAGCAACGGATTTATCCCAGGAGCCTGTAAATTAGAGGGGTAGTTAATCTGGCATTGTAGAAGTGCTTCTTTACATCTTGAAGGAAGAGGTGGTGTCAGCTACCACCAAAAGAGCGGTAAAATGAATTCCATAAAGAAGAGACATGAGTGAACACCAAAGCTAATAAAAAAGAGCAAGGTATTTTTGAGAAAAGTAAATGCAGTGTTTTCTGGTTTCACCTAGGAATTAAAAAGAAACTTCTTCTCTCCACGACAGGACCCGGTGTGTGATGTTCCCCATCTTGTGTCCAAGTGTTCTTATTGTTCAGTTCCCACCTGTGGAGAACATGTGGTGTTTGGTTTTCTGTCCTTGCAATAGTTTGCTCAGCCTAGAACCTAAAGTATAATAATACAAAATAAAAAGAAAACGAAACTTCCTCTAACTGGAAGGCCTTTAAGTGAACTTGGGAGATGAAACTGAAAGTGTTTAGATGGTGTACTCAAGCCAAAGGCAGGGTTAGCCAGTATCTACACACTTGATTAGACAAGCTGCAAAGTTAGGTGTTCTTACTTTTAATAATATAGGCTTGACCATGAGTCATATTTTTTAAAAAAGTAACAGTCTCTCCTATTTGTAAAGGTTTTGCAAGTTTAAACATTTAAATGAAGAGAAATACACTAAATTATTTCAAAACTTCACATTAACATATTTGAAAGCCATTTGAAAAATATTTGAATATATCATTCTTGTTATATAGGTTTTTTATAAGGTATCTTTAAGAGCAAATAGACTTGCTCTGAGTTTATGAATATGTGTGAAAACCCATTTATTATCTGCCTATATAAAATCATTCTGTTACAATAACGGATGGATATTACAAAAAAATTTCCTTTTACATTTAATGTAAAATAGATATTCTTGCTATCTTCTCTTTCTTCTTTGTATTGATTTATTTTATGATTAAATCCTCAAAAGGGCAATGAATGACAACAAAATTGATTTTTAGTTTCAAAACTGTTAAATAAAACATCTGGCATCATATTCAGATGCCAGTGTTTCGGGAAATTTCTCCTGTTTTAGAGGTCACTGTAAGTATCAGGTAATGTATGAAGACAAATCCACTGAACACTTTTAAGAAGATTATGTATATTCCTCAAGATTTTTTTCTGAATATGGCTTGCTTTATATTTTGTTTTACTTACTACCATCTCCCACACCCCCAAATGTCCTGTGCTCTAATCAAATTACTCAAGCTTTAGTCCTGAACATCTTACTTTGCTAATTACAGAGATTTAGGAAATAAAGAAAGCAATTAATATGGAAAAATAATATGGAGGAAAAATATGAAAGCAAATCATATAGAAGAAAAATATACTTGCTGCTTTGCAATGTATCTCACATCTAATTACATCAGACTATTAAAACTGATAAGATTCATACCCTCCATATCTATAGTCACCATTATCTCTATAACAATATACAGTGTCACAGGTGAGATTTATGATAATGACCCCAAGTCATCAAGGACATCTTAAATTATGCTCCATTTTCTCTGTTGAAGAAGCAGGAAAACCTAAAGTGCAAGTTATATTACCTGTTTTTTTCTTCAGACAGACACTTTAGTAGCTAACTCTGGGTCACACAAAGTAAATATTTTCTAAGTATTATGAACTGATAAGATTTTATTACATTATTAAGTCTTCATGCTTAAAAGTAGTAGGAAGGATATTTGATAAAGCTTTGTGGTTAACAGTATTTTGAAATATATTTGCAATTTAATTAATACGTATTATTAGAGTGGAACTATTAGCATATCAGAGCTTTAAAAAATCTGAATAAGCCTAGTTACTGTATTGAAAAGGTTTCCTTTATAGACAAGAGCAGATAAAGCTGGATTTGCTCATGCATTCAGCAAACATTTGAGTATCTACTCTGTGTCAAGACTAACAATAATAGATTTTTAAAGATGAATAATCACAGAATTTATCTTACAGGAATGGTGCTCCCATCCCTGGGGAGAAGATATGAGCAAGGAAATATACTGTGAAAATAAAATATGAAAAGGACTGAGGAACATTCATAAGACATGTATGAAAACTGTAACTTGTAAAGTTGCCATATTAATACTTTTTAAAAGTTTTGCTAATGAATTAGTCCTGATTAAAAAGAAATGATCTGAGATAGTCTCCAAGATAGTAAATATTTTTATACTTCTCAAACGAAAATCCTTTTCTACTATCGTGGACCTGTCCAGTTGACATGGTTAGAGTTATCAGGAATTACAGTGCAATCTACTCTGTACCACTGAGCCTAACATGTTGTTTGTCATTTTCTAATATTTCATATAATTTGCAATAACATTTTCTGTAAATATTTTATTATATAAATTTTATGGCTGAAGTGGCAAAAAATGAGATATTCAGGGAAACATTTAATGTTTTTTGTTTATTTGCCAATTTAAAATATTTTTACATATTAACAAGTGATAATGGTTATGGCACACCATGCCACAGACAGTTTGCCAATTATATGACTCAAATCATTTAATACCTCAAAAATCAACATTAGTTTATAAACTAATGTTGGTTAGGAAAATATTGTTTTCCTATGCAACTTTCTCTGGTTCCATTTATTAGAGCTTAATTTATATATAAGAATACTCATAATTGTGTTGCATTTCCACTAGTTTAAATATATATTTCAGAATATTAGTTAAAATGATCATTGAAAGTATGTTCTTTGTAGATATTTTATGTAAAAAGTGCTTCTAAAACTATATTAAATATATAAAAACTGTAAGAATATACTGAAACTTAATCATGTAGGTCAAACAAGTTGTCTTCTAATTGTTCATTAAAACTTGAGATAAAACTAAAAAGCTTCATTTTTCCTGCTTTCTAGTAATTACCATTTATGTGATTATATTCTTCTTTAAGCTTATCTGAATTAGCTCATTAGGCAGAATGGTTGATATAAACTTCAAAGAATGAAAAATCAATTTCATCATATTTTTATACTGATCTCAGGGACCATGGCTGGTATATTCATTACCATCTGTGTACACAGCTTTGTACAGTACAGCGTGTGTGTCAAACCAATTACTATGCAAATCCCAAGATCATCCCCGCATGTCTCCAGTGACATGAAATGTTGTCTGGCTTAAATAGCCACAAGGAAACATTTTATTCTTAAAATTAATAGTACGTATTTTACTCAAGTTGAAATTCATAGGCAACTAATAGTCATTTTAAAATCGACGTCATTTTAAATAACATATAATTAATTTTAACTTTATCAAAATTAGCCAAAATACAAACTGAAAAGATGAAAGGTGACTTGAAATATTAAATATGCAAAAATATGGAAAATATTAATTTGTAAGAGTAGCTGCAACAGTATGGAAATGGTATTATAAAAATAGTAATTATTTCATCAGTATTCAGCTCCCCAAAAGTTTACATCTTATATAATTGAAATGTTATTCAATTTTACTTACTATCAATAAGTACATTAGTTAAAAAAATGAGCATTTTTTACTCATTTTTAATGCCAAGTAAAAATACACTTTCTCATTTACCTAATCTCATTAACTCCTTTCTATTCCATGATCTTCTTGCTCTCCCATTCAATCTATCTCCCAATTTATACAATTCAATATTTCCTCATTCTATCATTTTCTCCATTTCAACTCTCCTTAAACTTATTTTTTCTATGCATTAAAAATAACTTTAGGCTGATTTTTGGAGTTTTCCTACAAACTCTATTTTTCCTTTAGATGGGTATAGCATATGCCTTTCTTGGTTATAACATTTTGTACTAAGTGCTTTTTGTGTAAGTAAGAAAGATATGATCCAGTCAGTCCTCAAGACTTGTAGTCTTGTAGTAAAAACAGACAAATACACCACCCCATTGGAGGCTCCACTTTACCTAGGACACTCCTAGGACACTCCTAGGACATCTTACCAAAATTGCAGTGTAGGTAGATAGTCGGTGCACATACTCACTATGTGCTAGGCAGTGCAAAATGAGGAAGGAATAAGAAAGACCAGGTTTCTGGCCTGGCAGAGGCAATATTAAATATGTTAATATGAAAAGAGTATAGCAGTGTATCAGCATATGAGGGTAGAGTGTGACGAGACTGCTATTTTAGATATAACGACTTTGCCATCACGGAGACCTAAAAGAAATAGAAGTGGGGGTTTGGGAAGAGCTACATAAATACCTGAAAGGAAAATGTTCCAGGAAAAGGACAGAAAAAGCAAGTTCAAAAGTCTCGAGACAGAAAGGAGTAACGTTTTGGGGGACCCGCATCCATGCTGACAAGGGGAGAGTAGGTTAGTGGAAGGATCACGGCAAGAAAGTGGGAGGATGCACGTTACGTTGGGATCAAGTTAATGACTTCAGAATGTATTATAGCTGTGACGTAATGGTTTAAATTGAACATACACTTTAATCTGAAATACTGTAGAATTTCCAAAAAATATTGAATAGTGTGCAATTAATTAAATATTGTTTTTTATTAATAATGGAGAAATTCAGAGAGGGAAAGACAAAACAATGGCTCACAATATTTCCATCTTTTTATATAATCTTACATTTGCACATGGTGAGTGAGGCCTTCTCCAATTATTTTTTCTGAAAGAGCCCATCCCACAGAAATTTTATCCTGCTTAACTTTTCCTCATGGCATTGTTAATCCATATAGTAAATATGCATTTGTTTATTGTTCCATTTTGTCTGTTTTTCCATTATAATACACATTTCATGAGGGAAGAGATTTTGTCTCTTTTTTTCAGAATTATCTTCTAAATGGATTGACTGGTGCCCATTAAATGTTGAATAGCTGAATTAATTAATATCAACTGTTTTTATTTACCCATAATAAATATCTGCTGAATGAAATTATGAATGGAGATAACATGACTTTTATAAACACTGACAAAGATTATTCCCCTGGCCAAATGTCAGCTGAGATTCTGAAACTTCTCCTAGGCACTTCTATGCACTTCCTTGTAAACTTCAGTTTTAGCAAAGAACCCTGCTAAATCAGTTTACCAGAAACCCCATCCTTGCTATTTGATCATCCTTGATACCTAATCCAGTTCCTCATTTTCCAACATCCCTTAGGTGATGCCTGATCACCCTGGCTAGTCTTAGCAAGAATCCTGTTTGAATCATTTAGCCAGAATCCCCCTTACCCTGATCCACTGACCTCCTCCCCACTGTACTCTTTGGTTGTAAGTTCCTAACTGCCCGTGCTGTATTCAGTGCTGAGCCCAGTGTGTCTCTCCCCGGCACCCACACCCACCGGGCAGTGGTCCTACCCTTACGATGATCCTGTGGAAAGTCTTCCTTACCATGCTTTAACAAGTCACATTGAATAATTTTTTTAACACTACTCTCATTATTTCTTCTGTTTTCTACTGTAGTTTTAAATTAGATCTATTTTTGGTCTTCCTCCAGTCTGTTTCTTAAACTGATAATATTCCATATTACAATCTTTTGTCATTCAAAGAAGTTCCTCCCACATTACAATTACAAACTTTGTATTTAAACACACATTTTAAAAAAATTTTTTTAAAATCACATACTATTCTTAACCAAGTTAGTAACAAATTTAACTGAATCTTGACTACATGAATAATTTCAGAATGTGCTAATTGAAGAACAAAAAAGAAAGGACGTCCACTTTTCATAAACATAAATAAAATTCAGATAACTATTTTTTGTAAATTATAGATTTTTTGGTTTTTCAACTCTAACAATAATATTTTCTTTAAAATTAAAAATAGATCAGAAAAATGCATATTTTATAAATCAAGTTTTTCTAGAATAAAATATATAAAATATTTTTCTCTAAAATAGTATAAGAAGGAAATTATTTTACATATTTTACTTTCAAATATACCTAATTTAAAAAAATTGAATAGATAACTAATAATATTTAACCAATAATAATTACCCTTTAATAGTTATATAAGGCAAGACTATTTGGAAATGCCTGACTCATATTGTTTCATTTCACGTCAATCCAGTTTACCTAACACGTGTATTTTTAGCAAAATCTATAAGTAATAGTATAAAAATGAAAAAAAGAAACACTGAGCACTTCCAAGGTAACATTACTTGCTCTTTGTGTTGGAGCGTGTTTCTTTATTTCAGTAATTTTTCTTTTCCTATTCGAAAGAAACATCCAGTTATGTTAAATTATTTATCATTTACAATCGTGAATGTTGTAGATACATATTCTTTGAACATCTGGTAATAGAACCCTGCACTTTTGGTCAGTGTAAGTCAACCTTGCATTACTTCAGAAATGTCACTCCCCTGACACTTAATCATGTCAAAACAGAGGAATGCATGTCACGTCTTCTGTGTAGCAGAGAGTCCTACAGGAACAACATGAAACCATTGTGACATTTTTCTAATTATCGATCATTTCATGTCCAAGTAGTTGAAGGTCACTTGTTAAACACATGAACATTTGCTTCATGTTGGCATTTTAGATCGACTATGTTACTAGAAAAATTTGTGTTACATGTTTTTATACTTATTTCCTATTAAACTCTAAATTGTTTCATCACTGTGTCTGCTTTTAGTCTCACTAAAGACTATGTATATATTGGAAGAGAACTATACTGTAAACTCCATCAGTTCTCTGAGCCCTGGGGTTGTGTTTATGTGCCCAAATTTCAACTCCCAGGGCAGACACACAATAGATACTTAATGTTGTTGAAAAAAATGTATAAATGGATATCACTTATCCCACTCCAATCTTCAAACTTCCCTGCACGGTTCTTAACATGAGTCTTTTAAGGAAGAATCTCTTTTTATAACCATATTATTTCAGTAACACTTCAAATTTAAATATCTATATGAATTTTGAAGAAGTAGCAGAGTTCTGTGTCAAGGCTCACTGAGTCAGCAAGACTGTGGTTGGAGAAGATTTGAAGGGGATAAGAAGAAGCACAGCTTTATATTTCTCTCCACTATGAGGCTAATAAATAATGTCCTGTTTATGGAACAATATCAGGTTGGAATAATTTGCTTTCAAATAACAGCACCCAATCTAAACAGGCCAGATTAGG